TCATCATGACTTTAGAGAGTTAATAACGTTCATCAGGACTTTAGAGAGTTAATAACGTTCATCATGACTTTAGAGAGTTAATAACGTTCATCATGACTTTAGTAGAGTTAATAACGTTCATCATGACTTTAGAGAGTTAATAACGTTCATCATGACTTTAGTTAAGAGTTAATAACGTTCATCATGACTTTAGTAAGAGTTAATAACGTTCATCATGACTTTAGAGAGTTAATAACGTTCATCATGACTTTAGAGAGTTAATAAACGTTCTAATCATGACTTTAGAGAGTTAATAACGTTCATCATGACTTGAGAGAGTTAAATAACGTTCATCATGACTTTAGAGAGTTAATAACGTTCATCATGACTTAGAGAGTTAATAACGTTCATCAGGACTTTAGAGAGTTAATAACGTTCATCATGACTTAGAGAGTTAATAACGTTCATCATGACTTTAGAGATGTAATAACGTTCATCATGACTTTAGAGAGTTAATAACGTTCATCATGACTTTAGAGAGTTAATAACGTTCATCATGACTTTAGAGAGTTAATAACGTTCATCATGACTTTAGAGAGTTAATAACGTTCATCATGACTTTAGAGAGGTAATAACGTTCATCATGACTTTAGAGAGTTAATAACGTTCATCATGACTTTAGAGAGTTAATAACGTTCATCTGACTTTAGAGAGTTAATAACGTTCATCATGACTTTAGAGAGTTAATAACGTTCTATCATGACTTTAGAGAGTTAATAACGTTCATCATGACTTTAGAGAGTTAATAACGTTCATCAGGACTTTAGTAAGAGTTAATAACGTTCATCAGGACTTTAGTAGAGAGTTAATAACGTTCATCATGACTTAAGAGTTAATAACGTTCATCATGACTTTAGAGAGTTAATAACGTTCATCATGACTTTAGAGAGTTAATAACGTTCATCATGACTTTAGAGAGTTAATAACGTTCATCATGACTTGAGAGAGTTAATAACGTTCATCATGACTTTAGAGAGTTAATAACGTTCATCATGACTTTAGAGAGTTAATACGTCATCATGACTTTAGAGAGTTAATACGTTCATCATGACTTTAGAGAGTTTAATAACGTTCATCATGACTTTAGAGTAATAACGTTCATCATGACTTTGAGATGGTTAATAACGTCATCAATGACTTTAAGAGTTAACTACGTTCATCATGACTTTAGAGAGTTAATAACGTTCATCATGACTTTAGAGAGTTAATAACGTTCATCCATAGACTTTAGAGAGTTAATAACGTTCATCATGACTTTAGTAAGAGTTATAACGTTCATCATGACTTCTTTAAGAGATTAATAACGTTAATAACGTTCATCATGAACTTTAGAGAGTTAATAACGTTCATCATGACTTTAGAGAGTTAATAACGTCATCATGACTTTCGAGAGTTAATAACGTTCATCATGACTTTAGTAGAGTTAATAACGTTCATCATGACTTTAGAAGAGTTAATAACGTTCATCAGGACTTTAAGAGTAGTTAATAACGTTCATATGACTTAGAGAGTTAATAACGTTCATCAGGACTTTAGAGAGTTAATAACGTTCATCATGACTTTTAGAGAGTTAATAACGTTCATCCGGACTTTAGAGAGTTAATAACGTTCATCAGGACTCTTAGAGAGTTAATAACGTTCATCATGACTTTAGAGAGTTAATCACGTTCATCATGACTTAAAGATTATAACGTTCATCAGACTTTAAGAGTTAATACGTTCATCATGACTTTAGAGAGTTTAATAACGTTCATCATGACTTTAGAGAGTTAATAACGTTCATCAGGACTTTAGAGAGTTAATAACGTTCATCATGACTTTAGAGAGTTAATAACGTTCATCATGACTTTAGAGAGTTAATAACGTTCATCATGACTTTAGAGAGTTAATAACGTTCATCATGACTTTAGAGAGTTAATAACGTTCATCATGACTTTAGAGAGTTAATAACGTTCATCATGACTTTAGAGAGTTAATAACGTTCATCATGACTTTAGAGAGTTAATAACGTTCATCATGACTTTAGAGAGTTAATAACGTTCATCAGGACTTTAGAAAGTTAATAACGTTCATCATGACTTTAGAGAGTTAATAACGTTCATCAGGACTTTAGAGAGTTAATAACGTTCATCATGACTTTAAAGAGTTAATAACGTTCATCATGACTTTAGAGAGTTAATAACGTTCATCATGACTTTAGAGAGTTAATAACGTTCATCATGACTTTAGAGAGTTAATAACGTTCATCATGACTTTAGAGAGTTAATAACGTTCATCATGACTTTAGAGAGTTAATAACGTTCATCATCTTTAGAGAGTTAATAACGTTCATCATGACTTTAGAGAGTTAATAACGTTCATCATGACTTTAGAGAGTTAATAACGTTCATCATGACTTTAGAGAGTTAATAACGTTCATCATGACTTTAGAGAGTTAATAACGTTCATCATGACTTTAGAGAGTTATTAACTTCTCATGACTTTAGAGAGTTAATAACGTTCATCAGGACTTTAGAGAGTTAATAACGTTCATCATGACTTTAGAGAGTTAATAACGTTCATCAGGACTTTAGAGAGTTAATAACGTTCATCATGACTTTAGAGAGTTAATAACGTTCATCATGGACTTTAGAGAGTTAATAACGTTCATCATGACTTTAAGAGTTAATAACGTTCATCAGACTTTAGAGAGTTAATAACGTTCATCATGACTTTAGAGAGTTAATAACGTTCATCATGACTTTAGAGAGTTAATAACGTTCATCAGACTTTAGAGAGTTAATAACGTTCATCATGACTTTAGAAAGTTAATAATTCATCATGACTTTAGAGAGTTAATAACGTTCATCAGGACTTTAGAGAGTTAATAACGTTTCATCATGACTTTAGAGAGTTAATAACGTTCATCATGACTTTAGAGAGTTAATAACGTTCATCATGACTTTAGAAGAGTTAATAACGTTCATCAACTTTAGAGAGTTAATAACGTTCATCAGACTTTAGAGAGTTAATAACGTTCATCATGACTTTAGAGAGTTAATAACGTTCATCATGACTTTAGAGAGTTAATAACGTTCATCATGACTTTAGAGAGTTAATAACGTTCATCAGGACTTTAGAGAGTTAATAACGTTCATCATGACTTTAGAGAGTTAATAACGTTCATCATGACTTAGAGAGTTAATAACGTTCATCATGACTTTAGAGAGTTAATAACGTTCATCATGACTTTAGAGAGTTAATAACGTTCATCATGACTTTAGAGAGTTAATAACGTTCATCATGACTTTAGAGAGTTAATAACGTTCATCATGACTTTAGAGGTTAATAACGTTCATCATGACTTTAGAGAGTTAATAACGTTCATCATGACTCATCAGGACTTTAGAGAGTTAATAACGTTCATCATGACTTTAGAGAGTTAATAACGTTCATCATGACTTTAAAGAGTTAATAACGTTCATCATGACTTTAGAGAGTTAATAACGTTCATCATGACTTTAGAGAGTTAATAACGTTCATCAGACTTTAGAGAGTTAATAACGTTCATCATGAC